AAGTTTTATAAAATGATACACTTCACATTTCAGCCTTTAAACCATTTTTAATAAAATGGATGAGTCATAAGTATTAATTAATATATTATTAATTTAAACAATTATTTTAAATAAATTATTATATTAATTAAATAACCGATATAAATACATTTTACTGTTTAGATTTTTATAATGCATTATCTTCTTATCGATCCACCAGTTCACATTTACAGCTCTGCGTGTTTGCAGGGTAAAAATATGGGTCGATTTTCACATTGGTCTGAACAAAAGCAACCCCAATACTGTGTTCCTGCAATACTGGAGGCTGCAGTTTCAGCATTTCTACTATAGGACCCTATTCCAACAAAGGAGACCTGATTCAAACATCAAACAAACAGATGCAAAGACTAGATCCATGGAAACTATTCATTTTTTTATCTTTCCATCTTATTTTTAATGCAAGAGCTGGCGTGAACCTGAGTGTGTGAGGCGATGTCAGCAATCTCCATTTAGCCTTAGCTGTGAAAAACAGTTCATTGTGCTGCTGGATGTTGTGACAACTTGTGAACTAGTATTTGTATTCAAATTATTTAAAATGTATTTATGTACTAATAAACACACTATTTTGTACTGCATACATACAAAAAATTTTTAATAAAAAAACAAAAAAAAACGATAGGGTCTTAGAAATGCGGTCCTGAAACTGCAGCTTTCCACTGTATTGCAGGAAAACTGGCTTATTGAAAGTGCACATTCATTCTCTGCCAGCAGGAGGCGCTTACGGAACGGCAGAAATAGAACTGTTTCCCCGGTAACAGCAGAACACAAAGCAGCACAGCACCTGACTCTAAAATGCGCAGCGCTCATATTTATTCAATGAAATCATAGCCTTTTGAAGTTTAATCTCACATTAAGCCATATCGCAATTCTGGTCTTTATGTCCCCAAATTTAAGACCTCCTGAAATCATAATTAAGACTTTCTTGTACAATTTAAGACTTTTTAAGGCCTTAAATTTGATACAACTAAATTTAAGACTTTTTAAGGACCCGCGGAAACCCTGAGTATGACATGCTAAGGAAGAACAAAATCCTTTGTCAGTTTGTGAAAAAGCCATTTATAATAGTGTCTTTACAACAGAGGTTTGTGAGGCAAGATGAAAAAGCTGAATTATGAAGTTTCTTATGTATAAAAATTTGAGATGCAAGCTTGCAAATATTAATGTTGGACTACTGTTCTAAACAGATAAACAAGTATGAACTTGTTGAACTACATTTCCTTACATCTATCATGTAAAAATTGACAATTTTAATGGCTTAAATGGCCATGACAGTTTAAAGACTTTAAAGGGATCATATGATGCTGCTAAAAAGAACATTATTTGGTGTCGTGCAGCCCTACCAGATAGTGACGTAGGTATGTGGGGGCGTTAGAACGAGCCGTTTTAGGTAGGCGTGGCTGACTCTTAACTTTTATAAAGAATCTCTTTGGATTTGAGACTTTAGTCTTTGCAACTTTACAGATCTTCTTTATGCACCAAGAGCTTGTAACACTCCAAAGAGAAAGGAAAAATTGAAATCGCATCATATGACCCCTTTAAAGACTTTTTTTTTTTAAATTAAGAAGCGCAACCATTTTTTCAACATTGATAATAATAAATGTTTCTTGAGTGCCAAATCAGTATATTAGAATTATTTCTGAAGGATCGTGTGACACTAAAGACTGGAGTAAAGGCTGCTAAAAATTCAGCTTTGCCATCACAGGGTTGAGTTATATTTTAACATATCTTGGAATAGAAAACGGTTATTTTAAATTGTAGCAATACACAAAATTACTGTTTTTACTGTATTTTTGATCAAATAAATGCAGCCTTGTTGAGCATAAGAGACGTCCGTTAAAAAAAAAAAAATTCTAGAGCCACTTTCTATTTGCTTGGTTTTGTACTGGTGATAACTAACAAAGACATTTTTGCATTAGTCAGATGTAAAATAAGAACATGTTAGATACCTTTAGGAATCTGATCCATTTGGTCTTCGAATGTGACAGAACTTCTTCTTTTATTGGCAGCTGAGTGGGAGGGCTCTGAGTTGTAGCTGTCCAACAGCATGACGTCTGTAGCTAGAGGGTAAATCACAGCAGGCATCTTTCAATCAAATATCAGTTTTAACATTGCTCAACACCACCCACCCACACCAGTCTGGAGACTGTGGGAGTGCCACTAAGCAGTGCCGTCTGTCTGTTATGCGATACTCATGGGCTCTGGGTTTCCTCAAATGGCACACCCTGATAACAACAGTCTGCAAGCCAATACACCACCTCTGCGGACTGCTAAGAGCTGTGGGGGTTGATTCGGTTTGGTTGTACTCAAAGAGGTAAGGATGCAGCAATATTAAAATCATGGTCTATACTGATAAACAATTATATTAAAATTCTATTTAAATTTATTGATGTAAATCAAAACACTAAAAACTAAAATCAGTCATTTTAAACACGACAAGTGAATTTAGTCATCACAACATTATAATGTACAGTATGAAGCATGGATATTTATATTGAGGTTTGCTACAAATTACATTTAACAGTTAATAAATTATTAGGGTTTTTAGAGAATAACTTAGGTAAGCATTAGATGGCAAATTTAAATGTAAAAATAGAGGAAACAAGCATGCGCAATTAAATATCCAATAACAGCTAATAATGATAAATAAATCTCCAATATCATCCTATATGGTACTTGTATATTATTGTGCATCCCTGCAAAAAAAAGATATATATATATATATATTATTACAAGACCAAAAATTCCTTTAAAGGCATAGTTCACTCAAAAATTATAAATTGCCTCCATTTACTCAACTTCACCCAAATTCATTTTAATATTTTTCAAGGAAAAGTAAAAAGGAGATTTTTATTTAGATAAAACGTTTGTGCGGCTCTCTTCTATACAACAAAACTTAAAAGGCACAGATGATGTTGAGACCCCCCCCCCCAAAAAAGAACCGTTAATGTATCATAGTACTTTTTTACCGCTCATTCATTATACGAGTCTTCTAAAGCCATTTGATTTTGTGTGAGGAACAGACTTAAGTTATTGAAATTGTTATTCACTGAAGGCCTTCCAGTTTGTTGCAGCTCTCAAATATGATTCAGTTTCCATATATTCAAACTGGTGCAAGGTCAGTAATGTCAAACTGTATTTGTTGTATGACTTATAGCTGAATGCAACACATCAGTTTATGCAGAAGTGAGAATGAGATTTAAGAACTACAATGAAAGAGAAGATTTTCAGTGAATAACGACATGAATTTCGGCCTGTTCCTCACACAAAATGTATCTAGTCCCAATCAATTGTCCCAATTTACTTTGATTGTATGAGAAAGAGCACCCAGGACATTCTGCTAAAATACTTCCTTTTTGTTCCACAGAAGAAAGTAAGGCATCAGATTTGGAACAATGATGACAGAACATTCATTTTAGGATGAATTATTCCTTTAAATTATTTTTGACCAATGTGTAATAAACAGCAGAAGGTCTACCTGAGTCCTGGGTGTAGCTGAAGCCAGTGTCTCCAGTGCTGCTGCCACGGCCCAGGAGCTGCCCACCGCCCACTAACATGGCCGTCAAGTGAGGAGACATTCCCAAATCTGTTAAACAAAAAAGACTCTCAGACTTCTCATCCAAACATTAGGTTATGAAGAATCCCAGGATGCAAATAACAGCAGCAGTAGACTTACCCGTTATCCGGTTAGAGATGCTGAAGAGACGAGAGGTCCGGTGCCGTATAACAAAAGACTCTCTGTAGTAGCGGTCACCAAAGCACATGCCCAACAACTCCTTACGTACTGTCTTGTTCCACAGCCCATAAATAAGCGGATGACACACGGCACTGGTGAAGGACAGCCAGGAGACCAGCGTCTCCATCTGTGAAGAAACACTGTCTTTACCCCACAGTGCTTCAGTGCTGATAACTACCACATATGGACCCCAAGTGGTCAGAAACGTCCCCAGCACCACCAGAATGGTGACGAAGGCCTTGCATTGGCTCCCAGAGTACACCAGGCTCTTGCGGCTTCCACTAGAAGATGTGGAAGTATTAGAGTTCTTGCGGCCGTTCTTCTGAGAACTGGACTCCTCCTGAGCCACCACCACACTACCACAGTAAACCTTCCGAGCTTTGATGCGGGCCACACGAAAGATAACGCCATAGCAGACCAGCATGGCTGCCAGTGGCAGAAGGCAGCACCACGTAACCCAGAAGGCAGTATAGCTGATCTCCTTGTGCCAAGCCACTGTGCAGGTCCACTTGAAGCGGTCAAACTCGAACGCGGACCAACTGAAAAGCGGCGGCAGGCATCCGACCAGGGAGTGGAGCCACGCGTAAACAATGGCGAGCACAGCTCGGTTTCCCGTGATTTTCATGGGGTAGATCATGGGATATAAAACAGCATAGTACCTAGAATGAGACAGACATTGATATAAAACGGATACACTTCAATCATTCCCTCATGAGAGACACATGACTAGCTAATGGAAAGACAAGGGGGTCTTTCTTTAAGACTTTCAAGCTGCCAGAAATAAAGTAGAGTGTGGCTTCTAGGTTTGTGTATTGATACAGCTGAGTAGGTTTGATATTTTTCAGTGTGCATCTTGTTCATAAAAACAGTGGATTTTTTTAAGCAAGACTGGACTGAAATATCATGGTGAACTACAGGCTTAAAGAAATACAGTATGACCATTGAATACAGCAGTCAAAAATAAAAATTTACAAGAATTGTTTTTGAATTAAAAACATGGTCATTCAAAGTCATTGTATGTATGAATTGCATTTTAATGTATTTTTAAAGAAATTCATAGATACAAAAAGTTAGTGCCATGTGATTGACTCACAAGTAAATATACTTGAATTGACAAATGTACAATATACAATCACATGTTGTATTATAACATCTCTAATTCAAGTTAATTTCTGAATTGAATTTCTGTGTTTGATTTTTTAAGTAGTGTGGCATAATCATTTATTATTATTTCTTGAGAGAAAAAAAAACATTAATATTTAATGTAAAGTTTGTCCACCAACTCAGACTCATATGGTCCAACCAAAATGCTGAAAAAACAAAACAAAACAGGAAATTATATCACAGAGTGGACCCCTGCAATCCCTTATGACCTTGTCAAGGTCAATTAATCTTTTAAAATATCTAATAATTTTAACATTGTCACATTTTTTTGGACATGGCAAGGTTAGTTCAGGCTGTAAAATGTCATGTGGTGTGACTTTCTTAAAATAAACTATACTTATTAATTACTATATTATGAATGAATGATTTGTGATATTTGTAAAAAAAAAAATTTTTATTACATTTTACTTGATGGTTACACCACGCCATTTTTTAGAGTCATTAAATTTAACTTTTTCTTTATCATGAACACTCCTATTGACCCTTTTATACAAGGATTCCTCAAACTGTAGGATATGATAACATAAGGACTGACCTGTCAATGGCAATGGCTCCAAGTGTAAGCATGCTGGATGAGCTGACGAGTAAATGGAGCAGTGCTGTGAAGTTACACCACACCACTCCAAACATCCAATCCCGACGCACCGAGCTGGCCGCAACGAAGGGCAGCGTTAGGACAGACAGCAGCAAATTGGACAAAGTCAGGCTGAAGACAAACTTGTTACTGGGTGTCAGTAAGTAGGGCTTCTTATATAGCGTCACCACAATGACCAGATTACACAGACACGCCAATATGGCTATGATGATGATAGAGACAGACTCCAGGACCACGAGCCCGTCGTCGTCCAGGCCGTTAGTGGAGTTGGCCACCACTGTCCCATTCTTAGAGCTGTTCATTATGGGAGGCTGCTGGGTACCCAAGTCTGGACAGACATGTTGACAAACTACAAGATATGAGAGAAAAAGCATCTGATCAAAGCTGTCTGGAACTTCTGAATGCTAAAAGATGAAGAAATTATCTGGTGTGGTGTTCAAGGGTGTCCTGTAAAGCATTAAAAAACAAGCTGATTTTGTTTGTACAATACACTGTACAAATCTGGATTATGCACATTCTTACAATACGCTGTTTGTTAAGAACTGGGCTGTGCTGTGAAAAACTCTAGTCTGAAGAGACTGTTCTACCAATTTAGAATCACATGACGTAAATTAAACATGTTTCACAGCTATGCACACAAAATATGCAAGCTTTACATCAGGTTGGCAGGGTTACCGTAGACAATATTAAGTTTACAATAATGAGATTTAAGATCATTATATAAAATCTGAAGAAAAAAAAACTGTTGACGACAACAATAACAAACAAATAAATAAAAATCAGAACAAATATTTGGACACTTAAGCCACACTTGTAGATATATCACTGCATTACATAACAAATACATATGAATACATAAGAAAAAATAGATATAAGAAATAAAAAAATATAAGCACATACTTCAGGAAAAACATATCACACAAGGAAAAACTTAGTGCAGCGCAGTTAAAATCTAATGCAATGAATTTCATATAGTTCATGTGCAGCTTAAGTATCCAAATGCGTTTGGGGCCACTGCATGTGGATCATCTGTCATATGCCTCTTCAATAAATCGTTCACCGTGATGCACGTCCAATGAACAACTACAGCACAGCAATGTGATCAGCCAACGGAGAGAGCGAAGCGCACACTGATTCTTTCTCTATTTTTCCAACAACAGCGGCATTTTGCATTGCACAAAAAATGTGTTTCCGACCCTTTAGATTCAAAATGCATAGTTTATCCTAATTAAATGATAGATGCATGGATAACGTACCCAGACTAGGCGATATCCCGCTGTAGCCGAGCACTGGTAACTTTCTCCGGCTGGCTGGCTTGCTGGCTTTGTTAGTCTGCGGCCACAAACTTTAATCCAAAAACTTTCTCATCTCCTGCAAGATGCTGGGTTTTCTCACGCTTTCGAGGAACAAAAAACGCTTTACGGAGACGCATGCTCGAAGTTTCACCGCAGTTACAAAGTATTAAATGATTCAGGGATGTTCATTTGTTGCGGCCGCTGCGGTCGGCAGTGAATAAAGAGGCGTTGCTGACGTCACAATGGCACTACGTCACAATCCTCGTCTTGAAAACTTCCCTCCATCTCTCAACTGCAGACAGTCCAGAGGGTCTCACTCTCACCGACTAGCCTACATAGTCTGCTCTGCAATTTTCTCATGAAGAATAATATCTATAAAGACTGCAAAAATCGTTTGGTAAGTTTTTTGTGTCTGTGTTCCACCAAAAATATCTACACGTTAAAACTAACAGTGAGATTTAGCTATACTTAAAACAACAAAAATCTATCTATCTATCTATCTATCTATCTATCTATCTTAGTACTTGTAAAGCACGTATTAATGCCTTATTCTGCATGACCATGTTTTAGACCCCGTAATCTAACCCATACCTAAATTTAAGAACTATACTATTAATAAGCAGCAAATTAGTAGTTTATTGAGGGAGAACTCTTAATTAATGCTGACACAGAGCGAGCAGACAGTAATTCAACACTAGGTGGGGTAAGCATGCTGTGAACTGTAGGAACACATTTAAAACTTTCTGCGTCCATCCTCATATTTTCGGATATATTGGATTAAATTATTTAGATACAGATTAAAAAAATTATATTATATTAAATTATATTATATTATAAAATATAGATTAAAAAATATGTGTTGTCATATCAGTGAAAGCACAGTGTTTATTCGAAATCACAACCAAGCAGCTCAACTCTCATCATTGTTCTGTAAATTGCAGACAGTTTATTGAAGCTTGAGGTTGATTTGAAGTGTAGCAAATACCTTTAAAGGTTTCATTTATGAGGTATATCTTAGCTACCTTGGCTTTCCATGCATTGATGGTCCCATGTTTATTTAAGCGTGCATACCAAGGATGCCACTGTCCAGGGTACCAACTGAAGGCCAAAGAACTGGCAGTGATTTGAGCATCTTTAATGAGGCCACTTTCCATTCCCAATGGCACAGAGCAACCTGCCAGCACAACGAAGAGGTTTAATACAATGGAGCTGAACTTTATTGGGTCTTATAAGACAATATGAGAAAACAAAATTTGTTACATTTTTGTCCATACCGTCAAGCTCACAACCGTAGTACTCCAAACAGACAGTTGGGTAGTTGTAAGAATGTAAAGGATGCAGACTCACATATCGTGCAATCAGAGGTGGGAAAAATATATTCTCCTTTCTGTCATAAGCTTCGCTGTTTCCTTCAAAAGTCTGTGGGGCATTGAAAAACACATTTTTCTTGCAGATCTTATGGGCTGTTCAGTTAGAACACATTTTGATTTTGTTAAAAGTTAGAGGTAGCAGAATGAAAAAATACTGTTGGTCTTGAGGTGTGTTTAAATGATTAATTTGACACAGTGCCTTATAAATGCGGCTCAAAGGCCAAAGACTGTCCAGTGTTTCTCAACCTTTCCGACTATAAGGCCCCTCAAAGTCCACACCAGTCTTCAAATGCCCCCTAGCCCTAGTTTTTTATTCAAAACTTATTTTAATCAATGGGTACTTCTAGTTTCTGTAAATAAAACTAAAATAATAATAATAAAAATTAAAATAATAACATTTTAGAATCCCAGAATTTTAGTAGGTGAATGTTTTACATGACTCTTATGGGCATTTGTGATTTACTGAATAAGGATTAAGGATACAGATTTTTGAAAATATTTTTTACTTGCCATTTGTACCCCAAAAACATTTTTAGAGGCATAAATAATATAATGTACTGTATATTCATTACCTGAATTTACATTACTTTTTACAAGGTATTGAACTACATTACATTATATAGGAAATCAAGATTTTACAAGACTGTGGGAACCCTGGTTCCTCAGAGGATTCCATTGTCCTTAAAAACAGAGTTAAATGTGTTAATAATGTGACCCCAACTATGCTACATAAAAAGCTATGCTTTCAAATCCTACCTCTAGAGTCAGATGCTGTAATGTGTTCATCTTTCACAGTTCCAGAGATGAGGCCAAGAGGATGATCACAGACTGCAAAATAGACCAGGTAAGATTTTAAGACCTGACAGAATCAGTTGTTTTCCTGTAATAAGATCGATCAGCATGATAAATTACTGTATGTGATACCGTTATCTAACACAAGGAATAACGTCTGCATTCCCCTCTGCTGTGAGAGTCCAACTTCAGACTCCAGCTGCCAGAGACCAGGCTTTGAAGGCAACATTTCCAGTGTGGCAAATCCACCTAAATGATGGGATCTGAGTGTGAATGGCCTTTCTAGATCATCTAGGTAAGTAGGTATCTTATAACACCACTACACACCTGATAAAAGTGGGTAAATACCCTGACGGTGGTCCTTTAACTCCTTATTTATGAACGTTTGACCATGGAAATGGACACTGTGGTCTTTAGGACAGCCCATGTTGATCAGATACCACTTCGCTAGCTGATTTGTGTACATCCGTAGTCCTTTGAGACTGTAGATAATACCATTGATAGCTGACAAAACAAATGTAACAAATACAAATTTATTAAGTTTATATAATTCAATATTTTTAATGGTCTCAATACTTGCTCCAATTTATTTAGATTTAATCCAATGATAATGACATATAATGAAAATAATTAAATTATTTAGAAAATTTGGATCCATGACTGCTCTTTTGTTTTTCCTTTCAATCCTCTTTCGATTCTCCTCGTAGTACCAGCTCTTATTCTCATCAAACGTCATAAAAAGCAGGATGAACTCTCTTCTGTCCAGAGGCTTTTTATCCAGTGTACCCTTCCTGCACACCAGAAGCGGTCCAATCAGCCCAGAGTTTATATCTCTCTCCTATGCAAGAAAGTAAGTCAATTGTAAGTGAAAATTAATAACAGTTATTTGACACTCATTTGTATTTAAATGAACTTACAGTACATTTGTAACATGGACAGCCCTTGTGGAGCAGTCTTAAGTTAAGTGGAATATGAAGGAACATTCATGCTTACAGGATTCACTGCAGAGTAGTAGGTCCATGTTCGACAGTCAGATTCATTATTTTGAGGTCCAGATTTCGAATTTATAGTCCACGTGTAAATAAAGGTGCTGTTGGGTTGTACGGCATCATCCTGTTTGTACCAGTACGGTGATTGATCAGCATAACTCAGGCCTTCCATTTGCTTTAAGTACTTTACTCCATTTGCATGCAAAGAGTACGGGCGGCTGGCAAGGTTCCTGAAAAATACCTAGCACGAAAAACAGGAATGTAATTGTTTGTGGGGTTTTTTTTTCATATGATTTGATTCTAATTTTCATTTGTGCACAAGTATGTTCACATGTTCAGTGGTGTACCATAACAGTCTGATCAACTTCAGCTTTAATGACCGGACCCAGAATTCCCAGGCGTTCATCCATTTCCCCTCTGATGTCTCGGATAGTAAAGGTGCTGTCAAGGTACTTTCTGAACACCGCTTTTTTGAAAGCTGTAGGCCTCTCGTTTTGAGATGATTTATCAAGCCTCCTTTGCAAACATAAAACAGTGATTTCACAAATGAGTTACACTGAGTTATTCATATATTCATGCTTTTTGTTTCTAGAAATGCTAATTTTTTATTATTTGAAATACATGATGCCAACAGTACCTCTGCCCATAACCAGCACAATCCCATTCTTCCTCTTCAACTGAGATGAAATAAGTTCAGGTATCCTTGTCTCCAGCAAGTTTTAAGAAATGCTGATATGTTATATTAAGCACTGGGCTTTGAACATTTGCTTGTTTGCTATAAGGGTCTTTGTACTCTACATATTCATATTCAAAATCTTCACCCTGCTCTTGTTTTGGAACATATAACTCATAATCATTGAAATCACATCTTGGCACTCCTATGATGATGGATTTCCCCATCAGGTCGTCCTCGCTAGACACAGGCCTGGTTCCCCTTGGGATCAACACAGAAGCTCCTAAAACTCTTGGAGGAATACCTCTTGGAGAAAAATCAGAATGTGGCTGTGGCCTATACTCTTTCCTTTTCTTCGTCTTCATGCCATATGCCTTTCTCGGCTTTACCCTCTTGTGAACTACTTTTTTTTCCTTTTCAATCTTTGGCTTTTTTGATTTTGCTTCAGATTTGTCTGTGATGTATTTGTTCATGTGATCTGGGATTTCCATATGAACCAGTTCATGTTTGCCTTCATAACCCTAGTGCTCTTCTTTTGGATCGAGATGAGATGTGAGTATGGCCTCGCTGTGATTGTTCTTCAGATAGATGACTACTACCTCTTCACTTTCGCTTTCTGAGTTGTTCTTCATGGATGAAACATTATTGAAAGGGCTAAGAGAAAAGGACGTGTTCTCTGTACTGTCTGAAGAAAAGAGCTCTGATTCTCAAAATTTCACTGGGAGATTTCATTGTAACATTAGTGGATGATGTTCTTTTCTCTGTTATTTCAGATTCAAGGCCGAGACTGAAATCAGACAAAGTTGCATTCGAAGATTCAGACTCATTGCTTTGCAAAGTGCTGTTTCTCAAAGGCGAAGACAAACTGAGATTAAAAATGCTCTTAGTTTCAGAATTTATCTGTGAAAACATCTCACTGGTGAATCATGATGCACATACCCATCCATGTTTTCAGGCATATTTGGAGAATAATCCCAGATATCTTCTGCTGCTATATAGTAAGTCCACTCTTGGCTTTCTTGTTTCTGTTGGATGGTAAGCCATCTATTTGGTGCTGTGTACTCATCACACGTCTTGATATTTAGATATCCATGCAAACCAGCTGCAAATATGACATCAACATCACTTTTATAGAGTACAAACTGTCAGCATTAATAGTGTTTCTACAAAGCTATGAATAAAGCCTATATAGGTTGATGGTTTAAATGAATAATTCATGACATTTTGTGGTTTCCCTGGCAGGTCTTACCTTCCAAGTGCCTGCTAATGTGAGAGGAAATAAGCCAACGGCCGGGGTGGACACCAGTCATACTGGCACTAGTGGCAGTTCCACTAATGATGCCAACAGATGAGGTTTTGTGTCCATCATGCAGAAGGACTTGCCCATTGAAGTGTACAGAGAAGAGCTCTGGCTCAGAGCTCATTCACAGCAGGTGCCAGCTGACTTTGGAGTGGGCACAGATGTCCAGATCTTGAGGACGACAAGGAGGAGTTTTACACGTAAGTAGATTTGCAGAAATTATATGTTATGTGTGAAAAATATCAAACCAACCTGGTACAGAGCCATTTGTGTAGCCATTTATAGTGTATTTCACATTGTGTGCCCGTTCAGGGCCCCCAGTGCTGTACCAGCTCTTGTTCTCATAAAACACTCCAAACAACAGCACAGCCTCCTGGTGGAAATGAATCTGATTTCTGGAGCTGTCTAGGGTGCCTGTGGGACAGGACACATTAACTGTCTAGACAAACAGAGCTGTTTATAATTGCGTAATTTGTGGGAAAACGGTAGGTTATTGGGTAAGCTGGGGAAAGAAGTCCCCCGTAAGGAAAGTGTGCATTTTCTACTTACATTTCAAATAAGTTCAGCATGTACATTGTAATGATGCATCATTCAGTGTATTATATTATTAAGGTAAATAAATGAACACATTTGCTCGTTTTTTGATTGAATAATAGAAAAATCATAGTCTAAATTCCGTTATAGGTCTGCAAGGATTAACAGACAATGAAATGAGAATCGTGACTTTGAGTTGACAAACAAAGCAAAACCTGTGGTTTTAAGCCAAAATAAAAGCTCTATGGTTTAACATTTGAAAGCAAAGAAATCAATATATTATATATGAAATTAAGAAATTATGTTGTTTGGTAAAATAAACTTATTATTATTAGATATTTAATTTTTTTACATTTTAGAGTACAATAGTGTTATTATTACTATATTATTACACGGCTCTGTGGAATACTTGATTCTGATTGGTCAGTCTCGACATTCCGAGGTATGTTATCCCTCGATAACAACCGGTAAAAGTTGATAACACAGGCTCATGATCCGGGAAACTGAAGTCGGCGCTGTACTCTTGCTAGGAATTGTTTTTTCTTGGTGGAAGCTTTGCGTTTGTTTAGCTAATAAAATATTAAAACTCGTCATCCTGGACTCGCTCTCTCGTTTCATACAAACGCAGCTGCTGCCATTTTGCTACTATTGTTTTGTACGCTGTAATGGATTATAAGATAACTAACAAACTGGTAAGATTTTAAAACATTTTCGTCTTAAATCTTTTATTGCCTTAATTATTTATGTGGTGAAATGTTGTGTAATAAGTGGTTTGACTGCACCGTTTCCCTTAAATGGGTCATAAGATGTTGCTAAAAAGATTATTTGGTGTATTTGGTGTAATGAAATGTGTTTATGCGGTTTAAGGTTAAAAAAACACATTATTTTCCACATACTGTACATTATTGTTTCTCCTCTATGCCCCGCCTTTCTGAAACGCGTCGATTTTAGTGAGCTAGAGTTAGCGGAGGCCGGTTTGAGTGAGCGGCGCGGATTCGACAAAGGAGCGTCCGGAGGGCTTGCAGCAACCACATGTGACGACCCCGGGCTGGACTCCGCTTCGTCCATGGTGAAAGCCGATCCGGCGATCCACAGCGCGAAGTTGATGTATTTCCTCAGCGACCAGCACGGATCAGCTCTAGGCATGACGAAGCGGATATCGTCCTCTTTTGGAAGACCAAACAAAGTAGTTTCGCTTTCACAACGAAACACACAGCACCTTCACGACATGGCGGCGGCGGCAACAATACTACAGCAAGAATCAAAGTTACGCCTTCTTTCTTTGCGTGAACATCTGGGCGGCGTTATGCAAATCTTCCCACATAGTGAAGTAGATATGTGGGGGCGTGTTAGAACAAGCCGTTTTAGGTAGG